CCAGAATATTGTGAAAATGTTGGTATTATTCTTGAGAAGTCTGCACCCTACACACCACAACAAAATGGAGTAGCTGAAAGAAAGAATAGAACATTGACAGAAATGATTAATGATATGCTTTCTTACTCTAGTTTAAGTTCTGGTTTTTGGGGTGAAGCCTTGTTCACTGCCTGTCACATGCTCAATAGAATTCCTCTCAAGGGAAGAAATGTTACTCCTTATGAACTTTGGAAAAACAAGAAAACTAATATTGGTTACTTGAAAACCTGGGGCTGTAGAGCAATAGTCAGATTACTTGAACCTAAAAGGAAGAAATTAGGTGAAAAAGGAATTGAATGCATATTCCTTGGCTATGCTATACATAGCAAAGCATATAGGATTCTGGTAGTAGAGCCCAATGGTTTAATTGAAACAAATACTATCATTGAATCACGTGATGCGATATTTTATGAGAATCGTTTCACAACCATTCCAAGGTTGGATTCTAATCAAGAAAATGAATCAACTTCTTTGATGTCTACAGAGGAAAGTGAACAACATGAACCCATTGAGCCTAATGAACCTAATGAGCTTGTTAAGTTAAGGAGTAAGAGGGTTAGAACTGAGAAGTCATTTGGCCCTGATTTCATTGTTTACCTTGTAGAAGGAACTAGAAAAACTTATTGTAAGCAAACAATGATTTCTTTGAATATGGATTCAGATCCATTAACCTTTGAGGAAGCTACGAATTCTCAAGATGTTGCTCTCTAGAAAGAAGCAAAGAAGCAATAAACGATGAGATGGATTCTATCATGGGTAACAATACCTGGATACTTGCTGATTTGCCATCTGGATCCAAACCCATTGGTTGTAAATGGATTTTCAAAAGGAAAATGAAAGTTGACGGCACAATTGACAAGTTCAAAGCAAGATTAGTTGCTAAGGGTTTTACTCAAAAGGAGGGTATCGATTATTTTGATACGTATGCTCCTGTGGCTAGAATTGCCACCATTCGAGTGTTGATTGCCTTAGCCTCAATCTATAAGCTTGAAATCCATCAAATGGATGTTAAGACTGCTTTCCTAAATGGAGAGTTAGATGAGGAAATCTACATGCAACAACCGAAATGATTTGTTGTACATTGTCAAGAGTACAAAGTGTGTAAACTTGTGAAGTCACTATGTGGACTGAAACATGCTCCAAAACAGTGGCATGAGAAATTTGACAAAGTAATAGTGTCAAATGGTTTTAGGATATATGAATCTGATAAGTGTGTGTACAGTAAGTTTATTGGAAATAGAGGTGTAATCATATGTCTATATGTAGATGACATGCTTATTTTTGGTACTGACAATGACGTCATTGAAAGTACTAAAAGTTTCTTGTCGTCTAGCTTTAGTATGAAAGACATGGGCTTGGCTAATGTAATTTTGGGTATTAAGATCAAACGAGAGGACAATAATTTGATTCTAACCCAGTTGCACTATATTGAGAAAATTCTTAAGAAATTTAATCAATATAATTGTACACCCATGTCTATACTTTTTGATTCAAATTTGAAATTGTATCCTAATACTGGAAGAGCTGTTGATCAGCTAAAATACTCAAGGGTAATAGGTAGCCTGATGTATGCCATGACTTGCACTTGACCTGATATTGCTTTTACAATGGGAAAACTTAGTAGATACACTAGTAATCCCAATAGTGTGCATTGGCATGCTGTTAACCGAGTACTTAGGTACTTGAGGAAAACAATAGACTATGGAATAGTCTATAATGGCTATCCAATAGTGCTGAAAGGATTCACGGATGCTAGTTGGATAACTGACCATGAAGATCACTCGTCCACGAGTGGTTGGATTTTTACTCTTGGAGAAGGAGCTATCTCCTGGGTTCTAAGAAACAAACATGCATAACAGACTTAACCATGGCATCAGAGTTTGTAGCGTTGGCTTCTTGTAGCAAGAGGCAAAGTGGCTAAAGAATCTCTTGTTAGAGATTAAGATATGGCCAAAATCTATGCCACCAATATCTTTGCATTGCGATAGTGAAACAACTCTATCACGGGCCTATAGCCAAGTCTATAATGGAAAGTCTAGGCATATAGGACTGAGACATAGCTGTGTCAGGCAGTTAATCACAGAAGGTGGGATTACCATTAGTTATGTAAAGTCAAATGAAAACTTGGCTGACCCCTTAACAAAGGGACTTGCAAGGGATTTGGTGTGGAAAACATCAAAGGGGATGGGTCTCAAGCCCACTTAACATAATCACTCCTAGTGGAAACTCAACTCAACGCTTGAAGAAACATCAAGTCTTGAGTTCAATTAGCCCAAGTACACTATATGTCGTGATTACAAGCACTTAGTTTTATTTCATTTTCATCCCAAGGTTGAAGTGCTTGGCACCTGTAATGTGAAAAGAAGAGGATGAGTTAGCAAACTCTTAATAAGCTTACAATTGGGTTGTTAGGGTACTGTAAATTACAAGGGTACTCTCAGTAAGCTTACCTATGTGAATGTAGGAGGTGGTACCGCTTCCTATGAGTCCAAGGGCTTGACTCTAGAGCCCTCATGAAACAAGATATAGACACAAGGCCAATCCACGTGTCAGTTTGTTTGAATACTTGGTAACCTGTACTGTGCGGGAGACATGTTCGGTTAGTCGTATAAGATCGCTAGTTCAAAGACAAGTCTACTATGCCATCTTGACTAACTTTGAGATGTTTTCACTAAGTGAATGATTCAAATCTTAAGATATCTTCACCTATGCATAAGGCTGCCAAGTGAACCAAGAGTCATCATCTGGTATTTTGAAAATGGTGGGGGAATGTTGGGGAATTTTCAAAATGGTTTTCAAAATTTATAGTTTAATTTTTGGGTGTTTTAAAAACCTTCCATGTTTTTCTTTGGAAAGCATGAAATAAGCTTGGAGACTTTGTCCCACATTGGAAAGAAAGAAAAACATGGAGCACTTAATAAAGTGCTACATGGAATATTCTTTTGAATATGGAATTATGGGATGAAAGCTAATGTGCATACACCCACACCGCAAGGATGGTGCTTTGCACCATCCGCCCACACACATGCACGCGTGCGCGTGGTGTAGGTAGTGGGCTGTGTGGCGTTTGATGGCGCACTTTGCACTTTGCATGGATGCATCGGCGCAAGGCGCCAGGAGGGCACTTTCCTATTTGCATCGGACAAGTTGGAGCGATGACGTGGATTCGACGTGGCATAGGTGACATGGAATACAGTTAGCTCCACATGGCAGTGACGTGTCGTCCGTTGACGATGAGTCAACCAACCGATCAAACGGTTGTGTGTCCAATCTTGAGCGGGTTGATCATAGTCGTTAATTGGAGATGTGCGCGATCGTACTTATGAGATGGCACCTGATCGTGATCAGGTGTGATTAGTCAAGGCATCTATTCGGTGTTAGAATGATTTGCACCATGGATCGTCAATCCAACGATCAGATCTGATCGGATGTGATCAAGAGACATGACCATTCGATCAGATCCATCAAGGCCTATAAATAGGCTACGAAATCAGCCATTTCATTCAATCCAAAATCCTGAAAAGCATTCTTGCAATTCTCTCTCTCTCTCTCTCCCTCTTGATTTTGAATTTTCGATCAAGAGTTTCTTAAGCAAATTTCTGTTTTTCTTATTGATAATCAAGTCATGCAGATTTGATTATCAGTGTCTTAGTTTCTTGATTATATCAAGAGTGTTCTGATCTATTGTCGTCAGTGTAGACGTCGATAGACTAGATCTTTAGATCAAGCTTCATTGTATTCTGGAGGCAAATTTGTTGTAACCCACAGCACACCTTTTGGTGGGTACAAATATTGTCTTTAGGAAAGCGACTAAGTAACGCTACTTGAAGCATTAATTTTCTGTTCTATATAGAGAAGATCATTGCCAAGTTTTGAAGACCCGAAGACCACCAATTGAAGAATCCTAGATGAATTGTTCTAACATTAATAATATATATTGATGGATTAAATTTAAGCATAAATATAGGAAATTTTTTTTGATAGAATTTAGATGTTGTGATGATCTATCTGGTTGACAAAGTTACAGCATCTTCAAAAGGCTATTGTGGATTGTGACTTTCAAAATTACACCAAGTGGGAAAAATATATATATATATATATATATATTCACCTTCCTCATTTTGTCTTGATTGATTTCATTACAAAAATAATTGTACCTTTCAAAATCCGTGGAGAGATCAAATTATTGCAGGCTGGTCGAAAAATAAACTTCTGAGAAACATCATAAGCCCTAAATCGATCCACTTGTTGGTTGGATGAATTAATTAATTTATGCATTAAGCTCAACTGTCAATCGAGATTAAGTTAATTGCTTAGTGAAGAAAAAAATAGTGCAATTTGGTTGAATGCATGAATTCTTGACATTGGATTTGTGCAGTTGCAAAACAAAACACCCCCCCCCCCCCAAAAAAAAAAAAAAAAAGAAACCAAAACTACTAACACCAATTAAATTTCCTGAAGAGAATCCATCAGTAGCTTTGAGAAGAGTTTGACAAGATACTTTCAAGAGTGATTTTAGCTTTGAAAAATGCAAACCATTGAAATTTTATGTTGGCAAAAATGGTTTAAAGACAAATGGTAGTAATATGCATACATGGATGCAAACATACAAAAGGATGTATGCACTTAGATACACAAACATGAAAAATGCTTTAAAAGTTCAAGTTTGGCCTGTGTACCAAGTAAAATCAATAATGATAAAAAAATCCACAACTAAAATGGTTTTTGATTAACCAAAACGAAAACAATAACAACAATATCACAGATTCAGCTGCTGCTCGTGAAGAACAAAACTATTATAGCATTTTTACATAAACAGAATTTAGCCATGTTCTGTTTTTTAAGATATTCTGATACAAGAACATTTTGCACAAGGCATTTTGAAATGGAAACATAGAATTGGTTCTTCAGCTATCCAAATTTGGTTTATAAGACTCAACTATATTATCTACTGAAATTCATTAAATAATTTGTTCTGAGTGTACAGTTGCAAGAAAAATGCTCTTGATAGAATGCAACCCAGCTACAACATCACTAATGTTCATCCTTTCCTTCGACAGCTCTCTAGAACAAGTTACTCCAATTTGCAAAATCGAAATCAAGAACTCCTGGGTTTTTACTCTGATATCTAGAGTTTTTTCTTCTACTTCCCAAAGAAGCATTGGATCTGCAACTTCTACCATTGGATAAGGCAAAGCCATTTTAACGAAGTTATGAAGGTTCAGACTATCTTTGAACATATCATCAGTGGGTCTCTTCCCCATGAACATTTCTAACAAGAGAATCCCATAACTATACACATCTCCCTTTGTTGTCACCTCGCTTCCCATACCATACTCTGCAATAAACACATCATGCATTGAATTGTAGCTGTAATTGGAAAAAAGTGTTTCTTCATAAGCACATAACCATTGACATGAGAATCTTGAAATGATATTGATTGAAATGGCAATAAAGTGAACAGACCCACAAGCCTTCTAACAAAGCCCAACCTTGAGGGATAACAATCAATTAAATTATCAAAACACTCAAATCCTTTCTATACATCAATTGTTTCATTAGAAAAGGCCATCAATGATTTCAATAAGTTAATACCAATCTAAATTCCTATGAAAACATAAATAAATAAATTTAAAAACAAGTAGATAAAGGAGGGCAGCAAAAAAAACTTCTTACGACTCATTTATGTTAATATGTTTGTCAAGTATCTTGGCATGCCAGTCTTTGTGGCCAATTATAACAAAATCCACTGATACACATTATTCATGGAACAGTGATTTTCGAGTTTTCAGATGTTTCATATTGAAACATGGTCTAGTGAGAAAATAGTAAAATAAAGTAGGGTGAAACTCCTAACAGAACTAGATATCTTTATTCTAAGGTCCTAAAAAAATATATATAGTTTTGGCATTTGGAAATTGGTCTGGCAATCGTAATTTCTTGTTACAGTATGTCACCCCTAATCATTTTGAGGCCAACTCAGATTGTCTGTGAAAAAGGCAGAATAAAAGAAACTACAAATTTTGCCTTAGAAGGTTTGGTTATTAAGCTATCTGTGTGAGCATATGGGTGTGTTTCCTGCGTGAATTCAATTTGAAAATGAAAGAATCCTCCAAAGAATGTAGAAAAAAATTATAGAAATATAATTAATGAAGCGGATCAAAATAATATTTACCTGGAGCAGTGTATCCAATAGTTCCTCTAACTCCTGTTGAGCTTCCTTGCTTTGCATTGAAGTTATGGTTTGCTTCTTGCAAGAATCTTGCTAACCCAAAGTCGCCTACATGACCAATCATGTCCTCATTCAGAAGAATATTGCTTGGCTTCAGATCACAGTGGATTATTGGTGTTTGGTAATCATGGTGAAGATAATCCAATGCACACGCAACTTCAATAGAAATGTTTAATCGCTGATGAAGACCTAGTTTCTTTGGTTCATTATGCAACAAATCCAGTCCCGTGACTGGATGCAACCAGTCCTCCAGACTTCCATTTACCATGAAATCATAAACCAGGGCCTTAAAATCATTACCTTGATAATCAACACCTGAACATGCGGTCAGTACCTTAACAAGTTTGCGATGTTTAATGTTCCTCCAGGCCTTACACTTGGCTAAGAAACTTTTGGAAGCCCCAGGACACCGGAGGTTGAGTACCTTCATGGCAACAATTGTTCCATCATGTTCAAGAATTCCTCTATACATAGACCCAAAACTACTAACACCAATTAAATTTCCTGAAGAGAATCCATCAGTAGCTTTGAGAAGAGTTTGATAAGATACTTTCAAGAGTGATTTTTTTAGTGAAACGGAAGAAAGATCTTTTTCTGCCTTTCTATACCAACAAATATATAGAATGGACAACATAAAAGATACCCCTAAAACCCCACTACATATAGAAATTGCCAATTTTGAAGCGAGAGTCAATCTCCTCTTTTGGGACCGTATGGAGTTGCACAAGGACAGCTGTAATTCAGGTACACCTCCACAAAGCTTGCTATTCCCATTGACTGAAATTGCACTTGCATTTGCAAATATACCTTTTGTTGGCACTGCACACTCAAAATCATTGTAGGACAAGTTCAAATTCTACAATAAATTAAATGCCGCAAAATATTTTGGAATCCGTCCAGACAAAATTATTGCAAGAGAGATCTAAGAATTGAATACCTCTCAAAGAAGCCAAAGTAGAAGGAATGGTTCCTTGAAAAAAGTTACCATCCATATATAGTGTTTCTAACATTACACACCTGCCAAGAGTGCCGGGAATTTCACCAGATAACATATTGCTGGAAACACTCAAGTAACCAAGGTTCTTCAAGTTTGCAACTTCCACTGGAAGAGAACTTGTCAAATAGTTTTCAGATAGGTCCAAATGTGATAATGAGGAAAGACCAATAACTAATTGAGGTATTGGCCCACTAAGCTTGTTATGTGCTAGGCTCAATGACAACAAATTTTTGCAGTCACCCAAACTTGGAGGGATATTGCCATGAAGACTCTTTTGATTCAAACAAGTTTAATTAATGGACTTAAATTTCCTAGAGAGGATGGGATATTTCCCGAAATTCATTTTCTGACAAGTCCAAATCTTGTAGGTTCTGAAGCTTTCCAATATCAAATGGTAAATTTCCTGTAAAGTGATTGCCAACAAGCCATATTCTTTCCAAGTTGATGAGATTTTGTATCCCATAAGGAATGCTCCCTGATATCTGATTATAACCTAAGTTGTATTTTTCTAAGCTTAGTGGACAGGTTGCCAATGGTTTCAGTCAACATTCCTCCAAAGTTGTTATCGCCAAGATCAAGTAGCACTAAACCAGTGGCATTGTTCAAAGAGGGCAGAAAGCCCAAATCAACAATGTGACCGCTCCTAAGATGATTGGATGCGATTGACAATCGGTGAAGTTTATGCAGCTTCTCCATAGTTGGCACTCCTCCAATAAGGTCATTTTCTGATGTATCAAAATAAAATAGGTTCGAGGCATTGGAAATTGAAATGGGAATGGATCCAGTAAATTGATTAGTGGAAATACTAAGAATCTTAAGATTTGGAAGAACATTTCCTATTTTAGAAGGAAGACTCTCTGATATGGTTCACTGCAAACAGATTAATTGGCTGGGATTTCACCACTGATTGAATTGTTGTTGAGGTACAGAACTTCTAGTCTTCTCAGGTGGCCAAGTTCTGGGGGAATTATGTGAACAAAGCTATTGTTTTGGAGGTGTAGAGTTCTGAGAAAGCTTAGGTTACCTATATACGGTGAAATGTTGCCTGACAATTTCAGGGACCAGAGATCCAACAGGACCACCCTCTGGTGGTGGCGGCGGCCACATGTGACACCGTTCCACTGGCAGAAATGGACAGAATCATTCCAGGAGGTGAAAAGCTTGAAGGGATCATCAGTTATTTGGGATTTTAATGCAAGCAATGCTAGTTGATCTGTTTCATTGATGCCATTGCCCATAGCAAGAAAAAAGAGAACAATGACCAAGACCCAATCAAACTCATTTGGAATTGACAATCTAGGGACTTCATTGAGAGTTTACTAGACCCAAGCAATCCAGGATTACAAAAAACTATAACAACGAACTAGAATGAATTTAGTGGAATTTATTTATATTAGAAAAAAACTCTGCAAATTTATGTGGTAAAGTAAAATATAGTAATTGGGTTTTGATCATATCCTTCAATTATTTGATTTGATTCTCTTGTTTAAGATTTTAGACAAAGACCCAGTTCAACTCACGAAAGTCTTCAGAGATGAGTCTTCTAGGACTATAGCGCTAATGACCATGTCTTTAAAAAAATTTATTCTCTCTCTGATCCACCAGTGTAAGAAAAATCAATAGAATCAAATTGTCTATTTTACACAAAATCTACATATTTTATTTCGGTCTGAAAAACTTAGATTTGTGCAAAAAATCTCTTTTGAAAAATCTAGGCCCATCCCGTTTAATGTGATTATTGATTTAAGCAGTCCAATTAAAAATTAAGCAATCACGATCAATGTAAATAAGAGAGAGTAAGAGAAAATCAATCCATGACACAATATTTTTTACGTGGAAAATCATAATTGGAATCCACTAACTTGTGATAAAACGACCACAGACCCTCGGCCAGACAAATAATCCACTATGCAAGAAAGGTAGTACAAGAGATATCTTACAAAGGCCAATCCAGGCTACACGAGTCTACTTACCGACACACGTCTTTGTTCACTCTACTGGTGCCTCCACGATCTCCACTGGATATTCACCACGATTGTTGAATTGCCACGATGCCAATAATTTCAGAATCCACCAAAATCTATAATCTTATAATCCACTAAGAAGGTTCACTTTTTGAAGAGGAGTGAAGAACTTATACAAACTTGATGTTGAACTTCAAGTTCCTATGGCTAATGTATCATTAAGCAATTGAGAGTTACAAAGAATCCTCGCTACAAGTTCACTCTCAAAAATAAAACTTGTTGGGACCGTGAGACACCAGAAATCAATCACACACAATAACACAAGAATATTTACGTGGTTCAACAATTGCCTATGTCCACGGAGAGTTATCCACTGTAGAATTTTCCTAGAGGGAGTTTACACACTCACACCTCACTTACACACTATAGCACTCTCACTTCTCATAATCTCTCAGATTACACACACTGCAATCACTTGTTTATCCAACCCCTCCTCCTCACCTCAATTTATACACAATTGAGGGAGGAGCTCATTGGTTGCCACCAACCCCTTCCATTAGCTAATGGGATGGGTGAAGTGGAAGAGTGGGACAGCCACTATCCATAGTGGTTTCTCCATTTGAATGGGCAGTGGAACACTAACGATTCTCCCCCTCCATGCCCATATGGAGCTGACTTCTCATTTGAAGTCCATCCCGGTAATGTCTCTGTAGATTTCGAGTTTGTTTCTCGAGACCACCTTTGTCAGTATGTCAGCTGGATTCTTATCTGTATGGATCTTGATTAGTTCCAATAATTGCTTTTCCATCACTTCGCATATCCAATGATACCGAATATCAATGTGCTTTGTGCGAGAATGGTACATCAAATTCTTGCTCAAGTCTATGGCACTCTGGCTATCACAATGTACCGTGAACTTTTCTTGCTTTAATCCCAACTCTTGGAGAAACCGCTGCAACCACAATATCTCTTTCCCAGCTTTCGCTGCGGCAATATATTCTGCCTTGGTTGTGGATAAAGCAACACACTTCTGCAACTTGGACTGGCAAGACACAACTCCCCCTGCAAAAGTGAACAGAAATCCTGATGTAGATTTTCTACCATCAAGATCTCCCGCTATATCGAAATTCGTATAGCCTTCCAAGACTGGTTTAGCATTTCTAGAGCACAAACACATTTTTGTCGTACCCTTGAGGTACCTCAGAATCCACTTGACTACTTCCCAATGCTCTTTTCTTGGATTGGAAAGGAATCTACTTACTACTCCAACAGCATGAGCAATATCTGGTCGGGTGGACACCATTGCATACATCAAACTCACTACGGCGGATGAGTAGGGAATAACCTCTATCTCTTCTCTTTCTTTAGTAGAGGAGGGACAAGAACTCTTGCTTAGCTTGAAATGATTAGCCAGCGGAATATTGACTGGCTTGGAATCTTTCATATTGAACTTTGCTATCACCCGTTCAACGTACTTCTCCTGTGAAAACCATATTTTCTTGGCTATCTTGTCACGCACAATTTGCATGCCCAACATTTGTTATGCAGGGCCTAGGTCCTTCATGTCAAAGGACTGTGATAACTCCTTCTTCAGTGATCTGATTGCGATGGCATCCTGTCCAACAATCAGCATGTCATCAACATAGAGCAGGAGTATGATGAAGTTTCCATCGGGAAATTTCCTAACATAAACACACTGATCTGCAGCAGTTCTCTTATACTCATGACCCACCATGAATGAGTCAAAATTCTGGTACCATTGTCTAAGCGCTTGTTTGAGGCCGTAAAGACTCTTCTTCAATCTGTAGACTAAGTTTTCTTTCCCTTTTACTTTAAAACCTTCTGGCTATTCCATGTAAATTTCTTCCTTCAAATCACCATGGAGAAATGTCGTCTTCACATCCATCTGTTCAAGTTCCAAATTCAAACTGGCCGCTAGTCCCAAAACTACTCGAATGGATGTCATTTCCACAACTGGTGAGAAGATTTCATCAAAATCAATACCTTTCTTCTGCCTGAAACCTTTGACAACCAATCGAGCCTTATACTTGACTAGCTTTCCGCTGCCATCTTTCTTCAACTTGAACACCCATTTGTTCTGCAATGGTTTTCGATCCTGGGGAAGTTTTACCAAATCATAAGTCTGATTCTTCTGCAAGGACTGTATCTCTTCTTGCATAGCTAGATGCCAGCTACTCTTCTTCTTATGATTCTGAGCTTCTTGAAAACTTTCTGGCTCCCCCTCATCAGTAAGCAAAATATAATCAGAAGTAGGGTATTTTGACGACGGCTTAGACTCTCTTGTTGATCTTCACAACTGTGGACTCGCAGTCTCTGGCGGAGGGGGTTGTGGCTCCCCCTGCTCAATACCCTCTTCTTTTGGATCTTCTTCTTCTGGCAATCCATCATGTAACTCTACATCATTAGTTGCATGTTGCGGTAGCTCTTCTTCATGAGTGGCATGCTGTGATGGTGCAGGATTGGGAACAATTTCTAAAACATTATTAACTTTGGGTTTGGCTGGTTGTCCAAAGTCTTCTAAGGTCTGACCTTCTTGAAATACCACATCTCGGCTTCGAATGACCTTTTTGTTTTTCGGATCCCATAATCTGTATCCAAATTCTTCATCTCTATAGCCAATAAAGATGCATGGAGTAGCTTTATCATCCAGCTTATGTCGGTGCTCCTTAGATACATGTGCAAATGCTTTGCACCCAAACACTCGCAAGTGAGAGTAAGAAATCTTCTTTCCAGGCCATACTTTCTCTGGAATTTCAAAATTCAATGGAACTGATGACGATCTATTGATCAAATAGCATGCAACACGAACAGCTTCTCCCCAAAATGGCTTTGGCAGCTTTGCCATTTTTAGCATACATCTAACCTTCTCCACAATGGTCCGGTTCATTCTTTCGGCTACACCATTGTGTTGTGGGGTTCCAAGAACAGTCTTCTCATGTCGGATGCCGCGAGTAGCACAGTAGGCTTCAAACTCCTTTGACGTGTACTCACCTCCATTGTCTGTTCGGAGACACTTCAACTTCTTTCCGGTCTCCCTTTCCACCATAGCATGAAATGTTTGAAAATGCTGGAACACCTCAGCTTTGGTTCTTAGGACATAAACCCATATCTTCCATGATGCGTCATCAATAAATGTTAGGAAGTATTTTCTGCCACCCAAAGATTCCACTTCTATAGGACCGCATACATCAGAGTATACTCTGCTCAACAACTCTGATTGTCTGCTGGATGATGAGTGGAAAGCAACTTTATGTTGCTTCCTAAACAAGCAGTTGTCACAAGGGTTCAATTTTCCATCTTTCGTAAAGGGAATAAGTGACTTCTTTGCCAGAATTTGCAACCCTTTCTCACTCATGTGACCCAGCCTTTTATGCCACAACTTTGGTGAAGCCTCATCTTCTGTTGCGTTGAGGCTATCTAAATGCACCTCCACATGAGTCTTGTACAAAGTTCCACTTGCTTGTCCTCTGGCTACCACCAGAGATCCCTTTTTTAACTTCCACATGCCTTTGTCGAAGTAGTTCTCATAGCCTTGTCAATCTAAGGCTATCCCTGAGATAAGATTCAGGCATAAATCGGGAACATGCTTGACATCTTTCAACACCATCGTGCACCCAACTTTGGTTTGGATGCGAATATTACCGATTCCCACAATCTTTGAAAAACTGGAGTTGCCCATCTTCACTGTATCAAAATCTCCAGCTTGGTACGTACTAAAGAACTCCTTCCGAGGTGTGGCGTGGTAGGAAGCTGTTATATTTACCACCCACTCGGTGTCGTTGTCTGACATATGGAGGCATTCTTCTTCTTCAATAGAGAATAATGCAATATCCTCTAAGATAGTAAGTGTAGTGTTCCCATCTTCAATCTTTGGTTGTCTATTACCTTGTTTTTGTTCTCCCTTCAAGGCATAGCAATATTTCTTTATGTGACCCTCTTGGCCACAATGGTAACACTTGAACTTCGACCAGCTCATACCTTCTTTGGATTTCCCTCTATCTTGAAATCTTCCTCTGCTACGTCCTCTACTTTTGCTTCTTCCTCTGTCTCTGCCTCTACCTTTATTTTCTATGACGAGGGCATGGGATTGATCTCTACCCAAGTCTTTCCGCCTTGTCTCTTCATTGTACATGGCGTCAGTGACCATGCTCATGGTCAGTTTTCCTTCTAGTGCAGAGTTGCTGAAAGAAACTACCAACGTCTCCCAGCTATCCAGTAAAGAACTGAGCAGTAGAACGGCTTGCATTTGTAGA